TTGGGGTCGGCTAACAATGTTTTTTTGTAGAATTGGCTTCCTCGGTGCTGTTTGGTAAACGTGGATTGATAAAAACCGCGCTAGTGGAGGAGGGTGGTGTGTTAATATCGGTTGCCGTTTTCGGACTTTGCTAGGATCCAGTATTATGATAACGAATTCTTCACTGAAACGTTGCCAAATATTTGACGGATCACATCAGAGTTGCTCGCCCCATCCCGAAAACGCCCAACTACAGAAACGTGGACAATGTAAGACTCCTAAATAATGCATATCTTCCACGCACAAATTTATGATCTCAGCCGTAAAGCAGAAGTGCCCCCTCAGTGAAACAGTATGCGTTACCTTTCATGTGGGCACAAAAGCTGTTTCAGTCCTGCGTAAGCTGCTCGAGCCTTGGAAATGCGGTTGGTTACTTCCTTGACTATGCTACCGTCATTTGTCACGCAACTACCTAAGTAGGATACACAATCTCCCATAACTAATTCTTGACCATAAAGCAGTAGAGTCGGGGTGGATAACGCCTAGTGTTGTAACATTACGTTGCAGTTTGAGGGTGCAAAGCACAAGCCAAATGGAGTTGCTGAACTTAAACCTTTGTCAAGATCTCTGCGCATCTTCCATACATTCGAAAAGACAGTGTCGCCAGCGTACCCCAAATAGCCTTCCTTCAACTCGTAAAATATTCCCATAGACAATGTAGAAAATGGTATTCGCTGTAAACGCCTGATGCGATATATCGAAAAGGAATTTCTTCGCGAATACCGTTTTCTTCCTTCAACTGCCTATACAATACCAACATTTTGGAGACCCTTTTATTACACTCTCCAGTATTTCGTCCCTGACAAAATTGAATAGGAATGGCGAAATAGAGCACCCTCGATGAATACCGCTCCTGGTTTCAAACAACTTGCTTAGCCCACCATAGACCGTTACTGTACCAGAAGTATGCAGTTGCAGTGATCTTAATAAGTTTGCATACTTCAGCGGCATTCCTTTACGAAGCCGACAACTCATTAAGGCTTTACGGTCAACTGAATCGAAGTCCCTTTTAACTTCAAAGAACACTGCAACTTTTGTTCGACTTGGTCGGAATCCTGCTTGCTGTCTGCGAATAGTCATTTCCCTTGAGGGGACTGGGTGGAGAAGTATCGGAACAAAAATTTTCCCATCGTGGTTTGCTCTTGCGAATGTGAATGCAGCATGAACTGAATACGATAAACATTTCTTTGTTTTTAGAAGTGAATAGACATTAGTTTTTTCTCCTCATCCATAACGTCTTGTCTCTACAGACTTGTTTGCTTTATCAACATTTTAAACTGAATGTATGGCGGTTAAAATAGTTGGGTACAATTTTAAAGCACTCGTGCTTTCACTTGCTTTCATGTGATTCGTCGTTGTAGAAAAGAAAGACACAAAACGTGAATACTTCGGAAAATGTTGCGCACAGTTCTCAGCAGAGTAAGTGGTCCGAACCAAAAATTGAATTGTTTTCTGTCTGCCTGGGTTCACTTTTTGTACGTTACATTTTTGAACTGTTGAAGCAGTCACTGTGATTGTTTGGATTTTGTTCTGCTATACTACTACTGAGTGAACTGTTCCCATGAAATGATGTTTTTTGTTCGATCAGAATAAAATGCACTAGGTTTAGTTTAAAGCTTGTACCATCGATGAGGATAGCTGATAGACCCAGTTATGTACTTGATGCATTTGAATATAGTATTTATTTGCAATTGGCGAATCATTATGGTGGCCGACAAAATCAGTGATTTTGGTTAAAGAAGGCTTGTATTCTTCCACTCCTTCATGAAACAGCACGTTCACTCTCTGTCTTAAGTGAGCTCATCGATGCACGTTTTGTCATCCTACACTTGCTCTACTGCCAATCCCCTCAACCATCACTTCCTCAGATTTCATGTTTGTGTTACCCGAAGAGCGGCTCTCATAGTCCCTTTGACACTTCTTCCATATCAGCTTCAAGTCATATACGCTATTAATTTACTGAAGTTAACTCTCTGTTACGATTACTGACCCGGTGCATGGATGCTAGTTTCCCTAGACAGATAATAGGTGGAAAGAAACCAGTTCAGGTAGATCCAAAATCAGGAGTGAAGGGTATGAAATTGCTGATCAGGGAGATTGAACATCAGTTTACCTAAAGCGACCATATCGGTTACCTCAAGGTCAGTCTGGTCGATGGTCAGAGACACTGAGCGAAATGACTGAATGGCGTTAACAGTGGCGTTCATACATCTCCCCTGTTTCTTTAAAAAAAAATTAGTTTAACTGCATTCTATATCTTCACCCTGGTGCTGCGTCCGGCTATCTACTTTATTAATCAACTCTCTATATTATATATTTTCACTCACATTTGAATCCAGATTGTGTTCCGAACAAATAATGGTATCATAATCTTTATGAAAAAGAAGAACATTCTACTCTAATATAAAAAAGCACCCAAAGGATAACAACCCAAACTACCCGATGAAGGTGCCAGTTATTGGTTGTATTTCACACACATCTGAATCCAAGCTGTGCCATACAAATCATAGTACAAAAAAAGAGAAAGTTCTATGATTTGTTGAATGAAGTGAAGCTGAAACGTGGAGAACGCCTTCGTTCTTTTTCATCTAACAACAAGTAACCAAGGGATATTTCCAGCACTAATCGAGGGATGAGATCCATTATTTTATTTAGTGAAGCAGTTAAGTCAAATCAGAACAACGGGCGATTTTGCGATCTAATTCAAGATTGTCAGGTGGTCGATAAATCACCTGAGGGACTGATGACAATGTTGCTTCTGCTGCTGATCATCATTTCTTTGTTCTAATGCGAAAACGATGTGCGGGTATACGGTCTATTTTCCGTATGTGTGTGTGTAGGTTTGGATCCTATTGGTTAGCTTTATTTTCCCCTTCCCAAATCCGGTTCACTCCCTATCTACCCGAGATGTTTTGCACGCGGTTCATATACCCCGAGAGTTTGCACTGTGATCACGGAATTTTGGTTCATTGAGGTTTTTTGGGAATGCATGTCGATTGTAGAATAAACTGATTTCAACCAGTTTGTTTTTACATATGAGCATTTCAGTTGAATTGGTCTGGCTCATATGATTGCATAAAATTAGTGTCAATTCCCAATTCGGTCCGATCATCTTTGTCTCACATTAAACCCTTTTATCACACATTTCAGTCAATCGAGCTGTGAACGTATCATCCATCGTATTGGAAAACCGGTCGTATGTTCTCCAAAGCCCAGATAACGAATGTTCCGATGTAGGTCGTTTTTGTCAATTTCAACCTAAAACACATTTGGGTATCCAAAAGCAGTTCAAACTGCAATGGCACATGATCATAATACCCGATTGCACTCCGCTTTTTCCCAAATACTTCTATCTATATATCCATCCTTTAGAATTAACACTTTGAGTCTGTCCTAGTCTGATACTTCAATTGATTAATAGCTGATAGACATTATCCGTCTTTGGGTTGGGGATCACGTTTAATCTCAAGCTGCTTGACTGCGCGGAGAAGAGGATGAGCGAGGCCACAGTAGTTGTACTAGTAGTGGTTATATTTCAGTATCCAACCTGTTGCCTGAAACACTCGTGATATCTTAATGTATAATATGTAGAGAACTGCAATTTTCAACGGATTCATTCAGCTGAATGAGAGCACGCGAAATTGATGGCAAACATCAATTCCGCCCACTTACGTGTTCTGTTGTTGATTCCGTTGCGTATTTGTGACGTGATTCGGCGCAGCGCTGACGCATATGCATGTTCTGTTCAGTTTCAGTTTGTGAAACCATTAACTATGCAATTTCATGCACCGGTTTTGATTGTTGTCTTTTCGCTACCCATCTGGATAAAGCAGCAGGAGAAAGGTGGGAAAGTTGAAAGTAGAGCCGAAGAAAAACTGACAGACTAAGGTTGCAAAGAAACTTGGACTATGTGCTAGCGCATATCCATGTTCACTGGAGAACCATTCTCCTTTGACCATCAACCGAGATTCCAGTCGTTTGTAAACTTTACTCTTCCTTGCGCATCGGTCAGTTTTTTTATAGTCACCTAATGCACATAGTTCTTACTGTTCGATGAAAATGATGAAGCTGCTGAGTGCACTCTCAATCGTGTATTAGATGGATAACTGAGAAAATGATTGATGAATTCGGAGAGTTTCAGGAATCTTTTATTGAGTCTGTTTTGAACTAAAACTACACAACGCTGTTCACAAGTTGTTCTAAATGGCCTATCATTCTCGATTGAATCATTGTCAGCCCAATGGATAGAACTGTATATTGATTATCTTTTTGTACTGCAGTGAAATCGTCAGTTTCAGAATCATTATTTTCCCGACCGTCCTAATGGTAACAGCTTTCATCGATATCATAACATTCCAATTTGTATTCTCACTTTTATTACCATAAATAGTTTACCCACAACGAGAAGCTGAAGTCCATGGGCTTGACTTTGGACTTTTGCCGTCAGTTACAACACGATAGGGCGAAAGATGAACATTCCCTTATCGATTCGTCTGTTGAATCCATCACTCCAACAAATCCGACCAAGAAGTTGAAATCCACCGTTATCTTTCTGGACAAACTGATGTCTGTTTTGAAGGATTCTGTCGGGACGATTGAAGGCAATGTGTCAGATCAATTGGAATGTTCATGGTAATACAAAATGGGTCGTGAATTGTTATTTCATTCTCTGATCATTATGCTCCAGTGGCGTTTCATTTTACAAATGGTCAATTTCGTCCTGTAAGGAGTAATTGTTGCGTGAACTGAAAATCTACGAATATTTCCTACCAAGTCATAACCATGGGAGCTAGTGCGAAGATCAACAAGATGCGATGCCTTCATTAAGCTCGCAAGCATGGGCTGTGCGATGTAATGTGTAGGGAAAATTAAAGCATTGATCAGCTGCCCGGGGCTTACGTTTTACCCGTGACGTCCCAGGTTCGATCCCTAGTTGGGTCGATGGATTCGCACTGCTAATGAGACCCAACCGGATCGAAACAGCCATTCAGTTCTTCCTAGCATTTCGGTTTCCGCTTCATTTGGTCTTTATATGACGAAACTCGCCATATAGTCAAACTAAATCTTCCATCACACTCGTGTGACATTTATTTGGTTTCCGAGGTTGATATGAAGTTTGGATTCAGACCTGTATATATATATATATATATATATATATATATATATATATA